TGCTCCTCAAGGGTTTGCTTGGGGTGGGGAAGGGACAAGGGTCCTGGGTGACTTCCCAACGCAACAGGTCCTGCCCAACAGAGGAGCAGGTGGGGGGGCAGATGCTGAGCTTAATAATTACGGCTAAAAAAGAATTGTTCACCCGTCACTGTTATCACGGCGCCGGTTGGAGGCATTAGTCCCTGCGAAAGCTCTTGCCTTGTCTTGCACGAAGCAGTTATCGGGGCTGCAGGGCTGGGCGCTGCCAGGCAGAGCCCGCCGCTGACTCACGCTAACGTGGCCGGCAGGGATCAGCCCCACGGGCGGTTTACGAGGGTTCAGGGAACGCAGCGCCCATGCTGCGGCAGAGCAAACTCCAGCTCGGAAGCGCCCTTGCTTTCCCTCGTCATCCGGTACCTGCAACACGCACGTGGAAGGGAAGTGGGGTCTTCCCCCGTGTGACAGCACCCCTGTCCCTGGGGCAAGAAACTCCCATTGCAAAACATGCGGAGGGCTTTGTTTAAAGCAACCTTTATTGAAGGAGCATCATAAAGACAGCGGGAGGGTCACGGGGGCAGCGATGCAGCCCAGGGCCCGTGCCCTGTGCTCACTTCTTGTGCGGCATCTTGTCGGGGCAGTCCTGGAAGAAGTCGTTGCACATCATGGCCATGCAGGCCAGGAAGGTCACGTACTCTTGGAAATCCACCTCGCTGTCGCTGTTGCTGTCCAGGTGGCACATGAGTTGCTGTAAGCTGGCCTCGCTGGTTTGTCTCTGCTCAGGGGCAAGAGGGGAGTTAAAACAGGGTTTTGCATCAAGGGCCACATCCCCGAGTCCCAGCGTCGCCCATGGGACGCGGCACCCCCTGCCCCACACTTACGCTGAAGCTGGGCAGCTCCTTCGTGAGCATCTCCTTGAGCTCCTGCTTGCTGAGCTTGTACTTGTCCCCCTCCTTCCCGGAGTACTTGTGGAAGGTAGAGACCATCACGGCCAGCGCCTGCTCCAGGGGACACGCCATGGGGGATGCCAGCGAGCCTGGAGGCACCAACAGCACAAGGGGGTGAGAGCAGAGTTCGGCGTCCACAGACACCCCCGTACCGGGGGGCTGACGCTCTCCCCCGGCCCCCCAGACCATGCAGGCTGCTCCAGTGCCCCGCTCCCAGGCATGCACCGGCATGCATCACCATTTCCTCCCTCATTTCACCCTCCCTTTAGCAGCCCCTGCCGGAGCCAGGCAGGGAAGGGGCACACGCGCTTTTCCAGCCCTCAGAGGTGAAACGCAGCTTTCGAGCTCGGCTCGCTGCAGCAGGAGCCTCGCGCTC